CCGATTGGGACGTAGGGGGGAAAAATCCTATAAAAAGGCAGTGACAAACCACTAGGGACCAGTGGATGCCTCTAAGAAAAGGAGTCGAACTTTCTTCTGTCATTTTTTTTTTTTAAAAAAGATCTGCCTTCTACAGAGGTATCCGTGTCAAACCGCAGTTATATCCAAATGACAACAAAAGCTAGCATTAGGCACCTGGGTCCCCATACCTGTTGTACAGGTGCAACAGCTGGGAGGTCTGCATAACGGTGGCAACAAGGTGGCATTACCCACCTGTCATTTGCCCTCCGTCCCCAGACAGCCGGGCTGCTCCGAATACTCTGATTGACTTGATCCAAAATATCTGCAAATTCACGCTGTGGCTGTACACGTTTCTTTCCAAATCTCAACAGAGGTTGCAACCTTTGGAAGGTCACAGCTCTTTCTTGGGCTAAACATCACTGTGGAGGGAGAAGAAAGCAAAAAAAAAAATAAAAAAAAATTAGGGGCTTCACCTTGCCTTTTGTAAGGCATATAAGCTGGAACCCAGTGGGGGATAATTTACAGGCTGGGTATCCAGTCTCGGTGGGTTCCATCGTTTAATAGAATATGACAAAAAGTATTGGTTGCTCTATAGTGCACCCAGATTGTTGGGGGCCATAGGCTGACTGTAAAGCGCTTAGAGAGGGCTGTCAATCACTGTGAAGCGGTGTATAAGTTTAAGGCAGGGGTAGGCAACCTTAGCTCTTTTATGACTCGTGGACTTCAACTCCCAGAATTCCTGAGCCAGCCATGCTGAGGGGAAAGGGAGAGGTTTCCAAGCTGAGCCATGCTGGCTCAGGAATTCTGGGAGTTGAAGTCCACGAGTCATAAAAGAGCCAAGGTTGCCTACCCCTGGTTTAAGGGCTATTGCTATCTTCCCTCCCCTTCCTTCCTTCCTTCCTTCCTTCCTTCCTTCCTTCCTTCCTTCCTTCCTTCCTTCCTTCCTTCCTTCCTTCCTTCCTTCCTTCCTTCCCTGTACAATGGTTAGAATGCCGTATTGCAGGCAAACTCTGCCTACAGCCAGCAGTTCTATCCTGACCGGCTCATGGTTGACTCAGCCTTCCGTCCTTCCCAGGTTGTTAAAATGAGGACCCGATGTCCTGGTTCCGATAGGTGAAACTCTTCAAAAGAACTTCGAGGCATTGTTTACCTTAAAGAATCTTTTATTCGAGGCACTACTAGTCCAAACCAGACACTAAATTCCACTCCCCTGGGCACAAAGTAACAAAGTGCAATTCCCTCCTCCAATAAACAGTCATAAATCACACACCCCCAATTAGCTTGAAGCCAGGGCTTTCTCCCCAGCTCGGCCAAAACACTATCAGCTCTGGGCCCAATGACCTTGGGTTCCCATGGCTGAGTTATTGTTGTTATGACTAGCTGGGCTCTCATCCCTATTCCCCCTCCCAGCAGCAACTAATTCTAAAAGCAGTAGAGAAAAATGGCTGCATTTCCATCTGTTGTCAAAGCAAGAACATCCGATGTTAGCCGGATTGTTGGGGGGCAACAGGCTGACTCTGTAAACCGCTTAGAGAGGGCTGTAAATCACTGTGAACACCGCACATTTAAGTCTTAAGTGCTATTGTTATACAGTATCTGCCCCCCCCTTTTTTTTATTTTAAAAACTTTTTATTTATAAAACAATTAAAAAAAAACCATTGGATTTGACGTGACATTCCAGTATATACATTCTTATCAGATTATACCATATTTTACAATCAATTCATTATCTCTACATATACATTACATTTTATATACATTACCTATTCTAAAGTAACATACATTTCTATCTTAACATTCGTCTTTAATCCCAGCCGTCCTTTTCAAATTCCTCCAGCGGTAAAATTTATCCCAGGTTTAAAAAAAAAATTGATCCACATTTATCTTTTAGTATCATTGTGAGCCTGTCCATTTCTGCACATGCTAATATTTTATGTATTAACTCTTCCTCTGTGGGAATTTCCTTACTCTTCCATTTTTGCGCAAAGGCAAGCCTGGCTGCTGTCAAGATATGTAGCAGCAGGTAGATTGTTCCCTTATCATATTTTTCTGTCGTTAT